ATAGTGATTAGACATTTTAATTTTTACAGACTTGGACTTGGCTCTTCAGCCACAACCGGCAGCTGTGACTGCCAGGCAGGTGTAAAAATATTCAGCACGGTTTGCTGGCTGAGAGCAGCAGGGGATGGACAAAGGTTAACTCAGGAGTTCACCCTTATCTGTCTCAGGAGTGGCATCACCCTGTTTATCTGTAGACTTCACACACACTGCACCGTAAAGCCATTTCTATGTTGAACAGTTTGGCATCATAAACGATATAAATACCCATGAAAGAGAACTTTTCATCTGCTTTACAAATGTGGGAAGAGGGTCTCTCAAATTGCAGGCACTTGAAAAACCAGAGAAAGCTTTGTTTTTCCTGGATACAATCATGCTTGCAGGGCCCTGATTATTTTTAATTATTCGGAACCTTGGTCCAAAACAATTTTTTCTAGTTAAATGAGTACCTTAATTTCAGATAAGAATGTTTTTCCTTTACAACGTTAGCATGTTAAAGATGTGGAGCTCTAAATTACATAAATTATTTTTTTTTTTAAAAGCCTCCAAAATATGTAAATGTGAGTAACCAGACCTGCCCCCAGAGTTCTGACAAAACTGGTTTCTCTGTGTAGGCTACACGAGTTAGTCACTAGGCCTGCCAGTTATCACCTGTCACTACCTCTTACCCCTCACCCACTTCTGCACGGAGCCTCCTCTCTCCATGACGGCCTCCTCTGGCCCCCCTCCACTCTCGGATGGAGGGAGACAGCGTGCAGCCCACGCTCCTGGCTCGGTGCTCCATTCCTGGCCTATCTTACCGCCTCTTGGTCCAACGCCCAAGACAGCACCCAGGCACCTAAGTTCCCGGAATGCACGCCTAAGGCCTCGTGTTTGGTCAGACTTCATCCTTTAAATGTGGCTCAAACGCCTGCTCCCCAGATGCTGCCTCTGATGCTTCCCAGAAGCCGGAGTCCTACCACCACCTGTCACCTCTCCACCTTCATCCACAATAAACACCTGCTCACTGGACTCAACTGCTGGGCTGGTCTCACTCGTTTGTCTCGCCAGGGCCCGGCCCAGGGCCTGGACCGTAAGCCACCAGGTACCAGTGGATGAGCTCTAGGGCAGAGGTCCCCGCACGTGACCCAGAGCCCTCCCCGCAGAGCGCCTTCCTTCACCGATGGTCTGATGATGTTTAGAAAGAAGGCTGTCTGGGCACAGTAGTCAGCTGCTGTAGTAATTTTTGTTGCCAAAGTTGTAAACATGACCTCGCTGTAGGTATCAACTATACCGGCTTGCGTGATAAACTCGCCTTTTTGTGGAAGGTTCCATCATCATTAAGAGCCCAACAACATTCAGTGTTCTAACAGCTGTAAAGTCAGTGGCAACTGAGGTCACCACTGGAACCCTCACAAGCAGGGCTTTCTCTTGAGATAGCGGGGGCTTAAAATGTTTTTTAAATGAAACCAAACTACAGGCTGCGAAATGAAAGACTGAAAAAGCCTCTAGCCTGCAAGACAGAGCCACCTGCCCGAGGGCTCAGGGAGTGCTGGCCTCAGCACCAGGAGGGAAAGTGCAGAGGACGCTGCCAGCTCCCCTTCAAATGCGGGCAGACCTCCGCCACCCCTGGTGCAGGGCTTTGGTGAGACCTCCGATCACTGATGGGTGTGGAAGGGAGCCGGGCTGGGAGCAGCAGGAAGGGTGAATGAGGACCCTGCATGGATCCCGTGGGAAGGGCAGAGGCTTCCACGAGAATGACCCAGAGGAGGCGAGGTGACCGCAGAGCCCCAGGTCGCCTCTCGGAGCAGCCCCGCCCGGCCCTCAGGAGGAAGCTGTGAGCCTCCAGTTCGGCCGCTCAGGAGGGCAGGCACCACAGGGTGGGCACTGCTCAGAGCCCTCAGCTTACTGGGCAGTCTCGGCCCTTCCAAGGCAGCAGTCAGTGCGGATGGACAGTCAGTGCGGATGAGCCGAAGGAAAGATTTAAAAATAAGTTAGACCTCATCTGAAGTCCAAATGCTAAATGATGACTGTCATTATCGACTATTGGTATTTAAAAATGTGATCTTTCAATTTATCCAATTCAGTATAGTAAGAACTATATCAGTGCTTTCTTCATCCACCTTTATCCACATGGTGAAAATGCTGAGAAGTAAAACATGCTACCATTTTCTAAAATTGGCAGCTGTCTGAGTTGGCAAAAATGCCAGTGTTTTTATTTGCAATTCCAGCACTACAATTTGGGGGCAAGATTCTTTTTACCTTAAAAGGCATCATACCTTAGCCGAAACAGGTTTGGCTCAATGGATAGAGCGTCGGCTTGGGGACTGAAAGGTCCTGGGTTCAATTCTGGTCAAGGGCATGTACCTTGGTTGCGGGCACATCCCCAGTAGGGGGTGTGCAAGAGGCAGCTGATCGATGACTCTCTCTCATTGATGTTTCTAACTATCTCTCTCCCTTCCTTTCTGTACAAAATCAATATATATATATATATATATATATATATATATATATATATATATTTTTTTTTTTTTTTTTTTAAAGGCATCATACCTTAATAAAGTAACAGAGCAGGTGGTCATTATCAGTGGCTGCTAATAGCACAAGAAGAGGCACAATCGGGCACGGGCAATGTGCCTCTGGATGGGCTAGCCACGGCCAATGAAATGCTCTAGCAAAGCAAAACAGGCTAACAAGCCAACAGTAGGCTCTGACCAAGGCTGGAAATACAGGAGGAAGGGGAACGTGGGCAAGGACACCACGTGGCGACAACGGGAAAACCCAGATTGGGACAGACACCTGCAGGACTACAACATGCTTCTACCCGTGAGTTTCAGGAAGAACAGACAAACACTTGTCATGAGACTCAGTGACCAACTGTAACACATGGAACTGACCTGGATCCAGATTCAAACAAAAATATTGTCAAATTTTTCATGAGACAATCAGAAACTTGAAGTGGCTGGTTGATGATACTCGGAAATTATTGTCAGTTTTTAAAAATATGACCATTGGTGCTGTGGTCATTTTTTTTAAAAAAGGGCCTTTAAGATAGGTAACATGATAGGGAGTTTGGCATTAGCTTCAGATTGATCTGGGAGTGAGAGGGGGAGACATGACTACAAGCTAGGTAGATGGATTGGCTATTGGATTAGGTCGTTAGGTCATTGGGTTATTCTTTTCACTTCCATGTGTGCTTGAATTTTCCTTTAAGGAAAAGTTGGAAACCAAACACAACCGGAAGGCGCTAGAGACCCACCGGTCACACCGGACCAACCGGGACCCTGAGTTTTGGGACGTGCAGCTATAAAAGTTTTTTTCTCTTTAAGCAAAAGGAATTTTTATATGTTTGGGAATGCCTTAAGGTCATTTCCATATAGTTTGAATATTGTTTTAAAACATACTAGAGCCTTTAATAAATAGCATTTGATATCTCTGCCCTTTCAAGCAATAGCTCCCTCCATGCCGACAGAATGGAATAGCTCATTTTCAACAGCCTCATGTCCTCCTTTTGAGTAGCTTTTGGAGTTAGCTATTTGGGGTAATTTAGAATGAAAAAGCTGCAAACAATATACATGCAGTGAGCTTATCAAAGAAGAGAAGCTAGACAAAGATGTAGATGAATGAGCTTTCAAAGCCTTGCATTTCCTGGACCAGAACAGGTCACTGCAGCCTGGGAAGTGGCAGGCATGCTCCAGACACCTGAAGGCTCACACAAAACATGGCCATTTTTAGGAGAGATCCCAGTTCAGAGAGCCCACCTATGCGCATTCACAGGTGAACAAGACCACCCCCATTAGTGGTTGTGATGGGGACAGAGATGAGGCCATGAGAAGCAGGGAGATGCTTCACACGCACCACAGGAAGGACCACATGCTAACGGGACGAGAACTAAAAGGCGCCCACTGTGAGGGTCACCGGCAGCGCCCTGGGGTGTTCCTGGGAGGAAGGCTGGGTGCCAGGCCACCTGCAGCCTTGGGCACAAGCTCAGCCCACAGGGCTCCACCCCTCCCCGGCGCCTCCGCTTCCCTGGGCTGCAGCAGAGCAGCTGCCTGTTGCTGGAGAAATGGCCACACTGACGGCTTCCAGGTTAAACCTTGGCCCCAAACTGTCACTGAGCTTTAGCACTGGCCCTGCGTGCCTACTGCTCTTCTAAAGCATGTTCCCGCGCTTACTCTTCAAAACAGATTCTTTTCCAAACTTCCCACCCCACCTGCGATAATGGTGCTTCGCTACTGAGCGCACGGACACCGTCACCCAGATGCTCCCGTTCTCCATCCCTCCTCCTCCTCTGCTGTGTAATATACCCTGAAAAAAGGGGAACAAGAAACCCCTCGATTCTCCGGCCCTTCTCTGCTCCTCAAAGATGCTGAGGAGGTGCCCTCCTCGGGGTTGTACACTTTCCACTCCTGCCGGGAGCTCCTCCTCTTGATCCCCGGAGGGTGGGCTCCTTGCTATTCAGGTGGCTTACATGTCACCCTCAGGAGTCCTCTGCTGCTGCTATTCACGTGCCACCCAGATGCCCCCTTCAGGGCTGAAGGACAGACTCCGGGCTGCAGGGTGCTGCTGGCACATGGTCCTCTGCTCATGACCTCCAGAGCCCACCCGGCCTGTCACTCAGAAGACACCACACAGCTGTCTGCTGACTTTCTCAGCGTTACAGATAACGCGCACACCGTTTCTGCACAGCACTTCCTGAGGACGTAGGGTTGGCACTTTAACCTTAGCCTTCCTTCAGAAAACAACGTGGAAATGGAGGAAAACGCAGAAGACAGCGATTAAGAGATGCAGGGTCTGCAGCCACGACCAGAAGGAAGGGGAGACTAAACCTGAGACAGTCTGGCAAACTAGGGACTCGCAGGTCACTTACAGGTACATAAAAATGAAGAGACTGGAGCTAGCAGGAGGAAAGGCTGTGTGACAGAGAAGGGTCCGAGAGGAGCGAGGAGAGGTCCTGCCCCCACCGCCCAGAGACTGTCACTTAGGACGTGGGCACACGAGACGTTATACACAGCCCTACTCACAAGAGACGTGGTTTCTGGTCCGGACGCCGGGGCTTTAAAGGCAGAGGCGGGCTTGGGAACATCGGCTCCCTTGTCTGCGGCCGCTCGCATGGACAGGCACTCCAGGTAATCCGGAGGGGGGATGGGGACGGCAGCACAGCTCTTCTCTGACAAGTCCATGGTGCTCATGCTCCTCACGGGCGCAGGGCTAACGGCCCGAGTTAGAGAACCAGTTAGATAAGGTCCTCCCACCAGATCCCACACTCAGAATCGCCGTGATCAGACAGGCCTCGGCAGGAGGTCACACACACAGTATCACAGTTATTATCTGGATCGAAGGGCAGACTTCGGGGTCACTGGGATAGAGGTGCCAAGGGAAGCCCATCAGTGTAATAGAAACCGTGGCAGTAGACACGGCCCAGGAAGGAGAGGAGAAAAAGGACTGAGGATGGCCGGGACCGGTTTGGCTCAATGGATAGAGCGTCGGCTTGGGGACTGAAGGGTCCCGGGTTCGATTCCGGTCAAGGGCATGTACCTTGGCTGTGGGCAGATCCCCAGTAGGAGGTGTGCAAGAGGCAGCTGATCTATGACTCCCTCTCATCGGTGTTTCTAACGCTATCTCTCTCCCTCTCTGTACAAAATCAATAAAATATATTAAAAAAAAAAAAAAAAAAGGACTGAGGATGGCCCCTGAGGAACACCTATGTTTGCACCGTGGATGGGGGTCTCAGTGCGGAGAGGGAGAAGGCTGTGGTGAGGTACAAGGACAATAGAGGGCCAGGTCCGGAGACCCGGGCAGGGAGCGTTACAGAAAAGGTGTCCCAAGTGTTGCAGGCTGCTCAGGAAGGTCAAGAGGGAAAGGTGGCCCTAGTGGGTTTGGCTCAATGGGTAAAGTATCCACCTTCAGACTGAAGGGTCCCAGGTTCGATTCCAGCCAAGGGCGCATACCTCAGTTGCAGGCCCTCATTCCTAGTCAAGGCTTGTGTGGGAGGCAACTAATCCATGTTTCTCTGTCTCTCCCCCTCCCTTTCACCTCTACAAATCAATGGAAAAATACCCTCTGATAAGGATTAGCAAAAACAAGGAGGGAAAAGAGAAATGCAGTCACTAGGGAAGAGGGTAGCAGCCGTCTCCCGCTCAGTCCCCACCACCTGGTTTCCCACAAATCCAGACAGAATTCTGATCGCCCGGAAGCAGCAGGTTGAGTGCCCTGTCACTAGGCCACATGAGCACGGCCAGTCCTACCTCGGCGAGGGCACACTCACTGCCTCCTGCGCGTTCTCTTCCAGCAGCCTCGTGTACGACGACGGGAACCAGCCCCTCCTGCACGGGCGGAGGAGAGAGGGACGCTGTGGGTGGGCAGCGGACGCATGAACAAGAAACACTGAGGACCTCTCACCCATCACGCAATGTGTGCTTCACATACAGTGTTCCTTTACATGGATCCCCTTTTAATCCCCCTGCTCCTTCCTGGTTTTGTTTAATATGAGTAACCTACACAGAAAACCATTTGTGTGCTGAGTCTCAAAGTACATCTGATACGCAGATTATCCTTGAGAAATCGAAAAAAACAAGAGAATACTTAAACCTATTTTCAGAGGCGACACCTATGACCTAAAGATTATTCTTAATGTCAAACTGATCTATCCATGCACACATGCAGAAAACAGCCTGGGACAGAACAGCTCCGGTTAACTAACTAAACCAGCAGTCGGCAACTGGCGACCCGCGGACCACAGGCTGTGAGGTCCGGAAGGCTGGCGACTGCTGGACTAAACCACAGCTACAGCTGAGCTCAAATGTGTGTCCACGGGACCGTGTGCTCACAGGAGAGAGGCGGCTCTCTGCGGCGCTGGGCTCCGGCTCCGGAGCGGACGCTCCCACCGAGACTTACGCTTTGGAGGTGTCGTGCTCCCCGTAAAGCCAGCCGTCCTTCTCCTCGGCGACAAGCAGCGTGATGACGTCTCCCTGCGCGAAGCCGAGCTGGTTGGTGCCGGCGGTGTGCGGGAAGATGGTTTTCACTTTCTGCCTTTTCATCATGTTCAGTCCCGTTGCAACAGACACCGATCGCTGTAAACTGGGATCCTCCGAAGACGCTGAGGAGGACACAGTGGTGACGGCTTTTCCAAGAACGACAATCGGCCCACACCCTTCCCTTTGCCGGAGGGGCGGACTACAGGGGACTGCAAGGAGGCCCGACGGAGAGGGTCAAACAGGGCCTGCCATGTTCCCACACTCCCGAGTGAGGGCGGCTCTCAGAGGCAGGCCGCCCACCACCACATGTGCGGTGCTTCCCTTCCCTGTTCTCCATGTGAACCACAGGAACCACAGGCCGTGGGAGGCCTCAATGCCCCCGGCCTGGGCCAAAGACAAGGAGAGCCGGGAAATGCTGCGGAGGAGCACCTTCACTGAGTCCGCACAGCCTCTGGGGTTGGTCCGGGCAGAGCCAGGAACCAGCTGCGGGCGGCCTGGCTCCACAGCCCAAACCGCACTCCGTGGAGCAGCACGCTGTGCAGTTTGTGTCTCAATTCAAATACCGCCTCATATTTACACTCAAAACAAACATTGGAATGGAGATTTTTTTTCTTTTTAGGTATTTTTTCCAGTCAAATTTTGCTAGCCCACTATTTGTAAAACAATGTAAGCTCTCTCTCTGCTTTACTCTTAGTCTTACTAATTACTCTGTAAACTCTACCCGCTTCTCACCTCGCGCTCTCTAAGTGCCTCAGTGGTGCTGAATCCACTAGCAAGGTTATTTCCTTTTACCAAAAAGAATCAGAGAGTCATGTGAATGACTGGGATGCACACAGCATTACCTATTTTAACTTTACATGGTATATAACTTGTAGTCCTTCCTTCAAAGGTAAATGGTTGCAGACCACTATGTCCCCAGATGCCATGTGGAAAATCTCATCTCTTCCCCATCAGCCTCATGTGGGCTAGCCCGGGTCTCTAGCACACGCTCGACTGCCACGACTTTCACACCCAGGGGCCCAGGAGTCACCCAGAGACAGGCTAGCCGCTGGGACAGTCTCCGGGGTGCTGGGCGCCAGACTGCTGTAGGCAGAGCCGAGTCTAACCAAAGCCTCCCAAAATGTCCGCAAACAACTTGTCCCAATTTACTGCAGTACAGTCCCCAGAGCTCAGTACTCTCAGCAGAACTACCTATCCAGAGGCCTGGGCTAGGTTTGATGATGAAAATAACTGATTACAATTCAAACTGAACCTCCAGGTAAGATCAACAACCATAATTTTGTTACGTAAACCTTTATAGTCTTATTGAAAAAAAGAAATTTTATTACAATTGCCACTGAATACAGGACACAGTGGAGGCTCTCTGTACATCCTATCTTATTTTAAAAATAACTTTTCAATAGCATATTTACTCCTGCAAACATCAATCGGTACACAGAATTAGTATGTGTCAGAAAAGGTGTCACGTATAACATGTCTCCTGGTTTTTCCATAAACCCAGACCTGTGTGTGCTCTGAGGTGTAAGTTCCTCAATGTTGGACATGTGCCATATGCATGCTTATTCACTGTTACCTCAAGACGCATTCATTTTAAAAGTTTAGACAGGTATTTTAAAGAAATACCTTACCTGAATTCTGTGCAGCTGTCGCTGGGTTATTGAACATATCAATCAAAGGGCTGGCGGTCACTCTGCCGGAAGGAGCCGGGGGCACCTTGGATGGGTACTGAGAAAGGGTGTCATACTCTTTCCCAGCCTGTGGAAAAGTGCTCATTAGTTTAACAGTAGTTTAATAGAGCAGTGGAATTCCAGTTTTCCAGGGCTGTTTCATATTATATGCTCTACATTCCAAAGTTCCCCAAGGTTCCCTTAGTTGTAGGGCAATACCCCATTTTGAATTATTTAAATATTTATTTTTTTTTAAAGATTTTATTTAAAAAAATATATATATATTTTTATTGATTTTTAACAAAGAGAAAGGGAGAGAGATAGAGAGCTAGAAACGTCGATGAGAGAGAAACATCGACCAGCTGCCACTTGCACACCCCCTACCGGGGATGTGCCGCAACCAAGGTACATGCCCTTGACCGGAATCGAACCTGGGACCTTTTAATCCGCAGACCGATGCTCTACCACTGAGCCAAACCGGCTTCGGCTATTTAAATATTTTTTCATTTTTTTTGTCTTAAAAAAAATAAAACCATTATCTTTAAAAACAAAACAGAAACAAAGCAGGCACTCGCCATACTCTTGCCCTCTGGTGACCACTCATCTACTTTCCTTCTGTGGATTTCAGGCTCCCGTTTAGTGCTGCTTGGCAGCGGATTCTACATCTGAAACCATTGCCCTTGGAACTTAAGTGCTTTGCTTAATTTCTTTTTCTTTTTTTTTTTTTAATGTTTTTATTGATTTTTGAGAGAGAGGAAGGAAGGAAGAAACACTGAGAGAGAAACATCATGGACTAGCTGTCTCCTGCACACCCCCTACTGGGAATTGAGCCCAAAACCCATGTGCCCTGATCGGGAAATCTGGTCTGTAAACAAGTTTCTCTTTACTTGGTAAATAATCTGTTTTTTCCCTCCTGAGAGGTTTTCTCTTTATCCCTAACACTCTGCAGTTTTATCGAGGTTTTGGTCATTCCTGCATCCAGGATGGGCCTGGCTGCCATGTGAGACCAGGTGGGAGGCTGCTGCGGTCGGCTCCAAGGGGCTGCGGTCAGAGCAGCGCAGGGCTGAGGGGCTGGTCTGGGACATGCTCTGAGGATGGAAACGTTAGGATTGGCCTAGGGACTGAGAGTGGCATTAGGAATAAGAAAAAGGCGTCGCCGCACTCGGTCTGAGCCACTGGGAGGACAACACTGCCTTCACTGGGTGGGGAAGGCTGTGGAGAGGCAGCTTTGGAATAAGGATTTCTGCCGAAACCGGTTTGGCTCCGTGGATAGAGTGTCAGCCTGCGGACTGAAGGGTTCCAAGGTTTGATTCCGGTCAAGGGCATGTACGTTGGTTGCGGGCACATCCCCAGTGGGAGATGTGCAGGAGGCAGCTGGTCGGTTTCTCTCTAATCAATATTTCTAACTCTCTATCCCTCTCCCTCTCTGTTAAAAAAAAAAAAAAAAAAAAAAAAAAAAAAATCAATAAAATACATAAAAAAAAAAAAAGTCAGTCACTGGTTCTTGACAAGTTGAATTTGAGATCCCCATTAGACATTCAGTGGTGAGGCTGGGCAGGCAGAGGAGTGTACCTCCCATGTCTCAGCTGGCCTAACATGTTTCCCATTAAAAAAGTCCTCTTTCTGTGTTTGCACTGTGTTTTGGAAGTGTTTCGGTTTAATTTTCCAAGCAGTTCCATTCTTCTAATGAGCCCATCAGTTGTTATTGTGTTTTGAGGGCAGAGAGAGAAATGGAAAAAAACTATATTTTAGAAAGATTTCAAACGTGAGAGAATAGCACCATACATCTCCATGTACCCTGCACCTCGCTTCAGCAGTTATCACTTCCTGCACAGAAAGGGGGGTTGTTTGGTGTGGCTCAGTTGGCTGGCGTCATCCCTTGCACTGAGAGGTCTCTGTGCAATTCCTGGCCAGGGCACATGCCTGGGTTTTGGGCTCAGTCCCCATTAGGGGGAGTGCAGAAGGCAGGTGATCAATGATTCTCTTTCATCATCGATGTTTCTATCGCTCCCTCTCTATTCCTCTCTAAAATCAATAAAAACATTATTTTTAAAAAGCAAATACACAATTGAGATCTCAGAGGAAACCAGTTCCTACCATGCTGCTTCTCTCGACCATTGGCGAAGGCTGCGGCGTCCAGGACGTGGGGGTGGAGGCAGGGGTCTTTATTTCTTCTATCATGTTGATGATCTCGTCTGGCACTTTGGTGGCATCACCACAGGTTTTCTGCCACCTCAGCAGTTTGGAATTCAGTAATTCTGCCGACTGTAAACCCAAAGGAAACAAACCGTAGATAAATAGGTATTGTCGGAAGAGCTGACAAAAATTACATCAAACGATTATCACTGACAACACATTGCCGGCTTGTCACCAGAAGTACGGAGGCTCAGAGTGAAATTCAGGGAGTAGTTTGAGCTTCTGTGAGTATTTGCTGTCTTATTTGCTGAGAAGGATGTAGGCTTCTGTTCTAAAAGAATGTATCTTCTGCCAAAACTGGTTTGGCTCAGTGGATGGAGCGTCGGTCTGCGGACTGAAAGGTCCCAGGTTCGATTCCGGTCAAGGGCATGTGCCTTGGTTGCGGGCACATCCCCGGTGGGGGGTGTACGGGAGGCGGCTGGTCAATGTCTCTCTCTCATCAGTGTTTCTAGCTCTCTCAGTGTTTCTAGCTCTCTGGCTCTCTCGCTTCCTCTCTGTAAAAAATCAATAAAATATATTTTTTTTAAAAAGAATTTATCTTCTCCCTCCATGTGAATAATTAAGACTAATATAGGGTTGTAAAAGATTAAGAACAAGTTCAAAAACGAAAAGGGAAGGGTTGAGCAATCCGTATTAATCACCAGGAAATGCCAACCACTGCTTTGTTCTCCCACTCCTATGGAAAACACCTCTCAGACAGGCAGGGGACCCAGCGGGCTCAGCTTAGGGAAACCGGATTTACAGCCAGAGGAGTCAGATCTGTGCTCGGACTGAGGAGCCACAGGCAGTGTGCGGTGGGCCCTGCATTGGCGCCAGCGCTGAGGGGCGCTCTGGCCTCAGGCTGGCAGACCATGGGGCTGGACTGTGGAGCAGAGTCGCAGATGGACAGAGAGAAGTCCCACAGCTCCAGAGGCTCCCACAGCCTGGCTTTGCTTCTTGCAGCTGGAGGTCCCTGCAGGCCTTTCCATGAACCCTCTTTTCCAGGGCAGCAATCTGCTGGGAAAAGGGAAGCAGCCCTTCCTTGAAGCTGCTTCCATAGCAGACACACTGCTTTTACTCAGAGTCTCTGCTCATCAGGTGTGGGCTGGGGATGTTGGTGGAAATCCTAAGGGGGCATAGTGTCCCCCAAACCACCTCTGTGCCGACTGTAACCCCTACACAGCAACTGTGGGGCCTGCTTCACCCAGGAGCACTGATAAGACTGGGGCGCCTTAGCTGGGGTACAGACGGCACAGAGGGATGTTCAGAAAGTTGAAGGGATGCTTATAGAAAGCAGCAGATTTGGTCTGTGTCCCTCTAAAAAGCCCAACTGGGCCCAGCTGGAGTTGCTCAGTGGTTGAGCTTTGACCTATGAACTAGGAGGTCACAGTTAGATTCCCAGTCAGGACGTATGCTTGGGTTGCGGGCTTGATCCCCAGTGGGGGTTGTGTAGGAGGCAACCAATTAATGATTCTCTCTCATTGTTGATGTTTCTCCCTCTCCCTTCCTCCCCCCCACCTTCCTCTCTGAAACCATTAAAAATATATTTTAGCCAAAACTGGTTTGGCTCAGTGGATAGAGCCTTGGCCTGCGGACTGAAAGGTCCTGGGTTCGCAACCTTGTTGAGAGCGCATCCCCAGTAGGGGGTGTGCAAGAGGCAGCTGATCGATGTCTCATCGATGTTTCCAACTCTCTATCCCTTTCTTTTTTTCTCTGTAAAAAATCAATTTCATATATATATATATATATATATATATATATATATATATATATATTTATTTATTTATTTTTATTTTTTAAATAACAAAAAGCCTAACTGGCCCCAAGGTTAAGTGTAAGAAAGACTGCTAACAACTAGAGCTCTCACGACACTGAGTGCCCCAGCGCCCACAGGCTGCCGCCAAAGAAGAGCTTCTGTCCTCCCAGCCTGACCTTTCCCCAGGAGGACACCCTCCCAGGTGGAACTAGCAGATGCACTGGTGACACAAGTGATCACCTAACATAGCAGTTCATTCTTGTAACAAGTTTAGGTCTTCACTATTTACTTATTTATTTATGTATTTTTCAAATATATTTTTATTTATTTCAGAGAGGATGGAGAGAGAGAAAAACATCAATGATGAGAGAGAATCATTAATTAGCTGCCTCCTGCACATCTCACCCTGGGAATTGAGCCCACAACTCAGGCAAGTGCCCTGACCAGACCGGGAATCAAATCCTGACCTGGTTCATAGGTCAATGCTCAAGCACTGAACCATGCCGCGGGCAGATCTTTGCTATTTAGATTTGGTGGCTGAATATTCCTTAAAGATTTTATAGAATTCGTAACATGATATATGCATACATACAAGGCCAAGTTTTGTTTTGTGTTTTTTTTTCACCTGAAAAAAAGGGGAAGTTGCCTTATAACCATGCATTTATATCATGCAGCACTCTCCAAATTACTTTATTATGAATAACAATGAATAACTGATGTCAATCAATGCTACTTTTGGATGCTTACAGAAAGGCCATTGCCATTGAGTGCATGCTTTGTAATGGTTTCTGGGGCTATAAGCTCACAGCTACTGTGAAGGAGGGCAGGAAAGCAGGTGAGATCTGGCCAAGGGCCCTACAGCAATGGGGTCTGTGGCCTGGGTACAGTTTCCAGGGACATGGGCCCTGGAGCTGAGCATCTCAAACCTCATGTAGAGTGGACCTGCAGGGCCAGGGCCTCCCTCTGTGGCTCTGGTGAAGGACTGAGGCCAAAGATGCAGCCCTGGGAGTTGGACAAGAGCTGACTCACAGGCGAGAAAAGGAAAAACGTGCTATTTCTCAATTACTGAACATTACTTTATCAATGGTTTTAAACACGGACGAATTACTACACTAATGAAAAATATTATAGATGTCTAAAAGTGAAATATTCAAGTTGGCCAAAAACTATTTCTTTGAAATCTTCCCATTGGCAAAGAGGTCCGCCGCTGTGTGCCGGGGTGTGCGTGGACTGCATGGGAAAGCATCTCAGGGCATTAAAGACGGCGTGAAACCGGTACCGGCGCCGCACCTGCTGGTGGTAGTGCTGCGTGAGGCTGGCGAAGCTGCAGTGCTTGTCCACCAGGAAGCAGAAGCGCCTCTTCTCCTCCAGGAGCGCCTCTCTGCAGCCCTCCGCGATGAACCTCTGGATCTCGCTCTGGCGAGAGGTGACCGTTTCTATGTACTAGGAAAGCAAGAACAGTTACGCAGCGTGACAGGAGGAACCAAGCAGCTGCTCAGCCCAGCATTATCTCCCGCCATCTTTACACTCGGTTTATTTGGATAATGGAGTTAACTGCTAAACACAGATAAACATGACACAAAATAACCGAGTTGTAACCTGGCCCACGCAGATAGCATCGTTCTTATCAAGATCCCTGACTCCTCTGCGAGAGCAGCTGCCAAAGGCCTTACATTCCAGGGGGCAGCTGGCACAAAGTATGGCTTTGTACTGCAGGGAGAAGCACCTGTTCCACTGGAAAACCATGGGATTCAGAATCAGAAAGTCTGAGTTCAAACCACAGTTCCAAGAGTCAACCCACATGATTTGACTGAAGCTCCCTCCCCATCTGTGAAATGGGGATAACAATGCCTACCCTCCCCCAGTGGGCAGGAAATGCCCAGGTTTTTGGGAGGCCCCTGACTAAGCACGCTTCACCCGGGAAAAGCCTGCAGCAGCTCACAATGCTGTCAGATGCTCACTTCTAACTTCAACAGCAGCTCAGCCGTAAGCAGATGAAGGGCTAACTGTGGTAAACAAACTATAAATCATCACCAACAAAACAAAGTCATGCTGAAGAGTTTACCTCAATTTCTTTGTGTTCATATTTGAGTGCATTTCGTCCTCCTTGACTTTTCCTTCTGATCTTCTTCAATTCAGCTTGAGATTTCTCCAAAGAATCTAATTTATTCCTGTGCTCTGTTTGGTATCTTTTGAGAGTGGCCTGCAAGTTAAACGTTGCACTTATTTCACAGCAGCAGCACCATACAAACCTGAAGGCAGGTTTTGCCAGCATTTTCACTGGGCATGGTTGGCCTGCCTCTCACTCCACACCACCCTCCCCGGACTGTGGTCCTATACACCCCCACTTCACATCACCCTCCCCGGACTGTGGTCCTGCATACCCCCATTTCATACTGCCCTCTCTTCAACTTTAAGGTTTAATGCTTTGATTTGTCCTAACGTTCTGTTTATATGAAAGGCTCTTAACCAGAGGGCAGCTCTCAGAGGATAACGTCTTTTCTTTCTCTTGACCTTCTTTCCTCCAAGGTGTTTGGACACTGGGTGGTCAGTAATTTGGTGAGGATAAGTCAACAATATTAGATCTCAGGTTCCTGTTTTATGACTTACTAGAGGCCCTGTGCATGAAAATTCATGCACTGGAGGGGGGGTCCCTCAGCCCAGCCTGCCCCCTCTCACAGCCCAGGAGCCCTCAGGGGCAGGAGGCAACCCAGCAATCAGTGGAAGGCAATGCCCCATCACACCTCCACTGCTGCCACTGCCGGCAGCGCAAGCCTCAGCCAGCCCTGGTTACCTGAGCCTCGGGCAGCCCTGGTTACCTGAGCCTTGGGTGGCCCTGGGCGGCTGGGGGGCTAAGGGGCCTGGGGGACTCTGGAGGCAGGTGTGCTGAGCGGCCAGGCCCACCTGGGGGCGGACCCAGCCTTGCCGCGCCTGCAGCCCTGACAGGGCTGGAGGGACTGGGCACCACCATCTTGTGGCTGTGGGTGCTGCCATCTTTGAGGGTGTAACAGTCAGCATATTCCCTCCTTATTGGCTGCGGGTACCACCATTTTTGTGAGGTGTGAGGGTCAATTAGCATATTTCCTCTTTATTAGATCTACTTATTAGATAGGATGATTTCAAGAGACTGAAGAAGAACAATCAGCTCCAGTTATTTGGAAGCCATGCAACAGTTTTTTCTTGGAGCCTGACAGACCTGGGTTAAAATTTTGGGTTCTTCCCTCATTTCCCATGCGACTTCAGCAATTACTAAATTTCTCTAAGGTCCACTTCTGCCCTCTAACTGTACAGTGAGGATAGCATGAGTTCCTTCCCACATTTCGGAGTTTCTGTAGGGATGCAAAGTGCGCTGGCATCACACCCGCCTCCGCAGTCCCACTGGTCCTGCGCCTTCCTCTGAGCCCGGCTACTGCGCACGGGTCTGGTGAGAAGAAAGGGGACTCGGGTGGCAGTCGGGGAAATAGAAAGAGCCCTGTGTGCAGGGCAGGACCAGGCAGGAAGAAACTGCTGGAACTGACAATACCAGGTGGCGGCAGGAGGTCCATGCAGGAGCGTTCTCTGATATCAGACCTGGCGCCCAGTCAGTGCTCTCCCTCACCCCCCCATCCCACGGAGCCAGCTGGGAGAGCCACAGCTGCTGGAACACAGATGCAGCTGTCGCCAACACGTGTGTGGGCTTGGGGGCAAGGCTTTCAGAAGCAGCAGGATTCCTCGCAGCATTTTTTCTATGCTTTTTAGTAAGGATGCTGAGAGTTAGCAGAAATGAGCCCATTCAGCCCCAGGGGCCTGTCCACAGCTTCATCCCTATCTGCTGCTGAACCAGGCTCAGAGTCAGGTGAGTGCAGCCTCCTGGACAGCCAGGCCCTGTGCCCACACCTGCCGCCACCAGGGAGACAGAGCAACAATGAGTACTCACGGTCATGTATTTTATGTCAAGTTCTGTCTTCTTCTCCAGCTCATGTATAATCTCTTTGTGGAATGTTTTGAACTGTTAACAAAAGGAAATAAAAATATTCATACAAGATTTGAGATGTTAAGCAAAATAAAATTAAAAAAAAAATACATGTTGTAAAAATAGAAAAAGAGTTCACATACATTTTCTCTAAAACTCTCGTCAAGTTTCTGGTGGGTACTTGAAATCTCTATGAGAACGTGGCCTGAGAACAAAACCAGACAAGTTAGGGGAGAAGCCATTGTGTGGTGTTGTATCGAGGGGAAGGGAAGTAAAATAATGCCTCACAGTCCATCGATGCCCCCATAACCCGCGGGCGTCAGTCCCAGACACTTAGCTGACCACGCCCCACAATGGGGTGGGTGTCAGGGAACACAGCTGGTCACAAACTCACTCTACAATACCCTTCCTCAAAAGAATGCCAACTCGCCCTAACTGGTTTGGCTCAGTGGATAGAGCGTTGGCCGGCAGCCTAAAGGGTCCAGGTTCGATTCTGGTCAAGGGCACATGCCTGGGTTGTGGGCTCGATTCCCAGTAGGGGGTGTGCAGGAGGCAGCTGATCAATAATTCTCTCTCATCATTGCTGTTTCTCTCTCTCTCTCTCTCTCCCTCTCCTTTCTGAAATCAATAAAAATATATTTTAAAAAAAGAAAGAAATTTAAAAAAAAGAAAAAAAGAACGCCAACTGTGTTTTAAAACTCACCTTGTGGAGTTTTGGGGTCTATAAATTTGTTCATCTCCTGTGCTAAATTTATCTGGTTTAATTGTTACATTCTCTTACAAAAGAGACTCTTGGTCATTATAGGAACTAACTATAGGAACAAAGGCCTTGTTTTTATCTAATCCCTAGAGCAGTCTGAGTTTCTGTCAAAAAAGATAAAGCTTTTTTTGTTTCTCATATTAGTTCTCGTATCGTTCTGGAAGATATTAAGGTGGGGAAACCCCCGGCCGGGACGGTGCTCTGCCTCGATCTCCTGGGACCATTGCGCTGACGGAGAGCACGCTCCAGGACAAGGCCTTACTCCAAACAGCGGCTGGACGAGCCTGCCTGCACAGCACATCCCCTGCCGGCCACGGCCCTGCCGGCCACGGCCGGCGCACTCTCTGCTCCTGACTCTGGTGAGGGTGAACAAGAGCCTCTCTCCGCCAACTTATCTACAGGAACCAAACAGTCTGATAGCTAAGAGCTGGAAAACCAAAACCACACAGGACAACCACCAGACTTGACCAAGCGATTAAATGTGCTGGCAGGTCACCCACAGTTCTCCGGGCAGATAAAGGGGTCCTTTGGGGGAGATGACAGGCTGTGAGTGAGGGAGTATGAGGGGAAAGAGAAAAGGACACCGACTGGACCAGGACGTCGGCCACACTCCACACAATGACTCCCCCAGGCCCTGCTCTCAAAACGGGTTAGGACAGCAACTTCCAAAGGGCTAGCCCAGCCTTTCCTTCAACTTCAGACCAGAAATTCAACGCCGCCTGAGCATGTCCACTGGCTGTCCTGTGAGGCACCTCACATTCAACATGTCTAAAAGTGAACTCACCCCGTTCTCTAACCCCGGGTCTTGGCAGCCAGCCAGCCGCAGTGTGTGATACCCAGGGACAAAGATGCATTCCCTTGTGCATGGGGTGCCATCATTTGTGCCACTTCCAGGAGAGAAGGCACGTGGGAATAGCATGTGGAGTCTACATTCGCTCTCTATGTTCCACCAGAGGAGGGAGGAGTCCCCCTGTCCAACCTGCCAGGTGGCCCTCTAGGGGTCCCCCTTCCTCCTCCCCCCCGCTCCTATCATTTCTCTGGCCTCCCAGCCTGCTTTCTTCGATCTTCTTCCTCACGGGGGTCAGGGGTCTTTCCAAATGCAAAGGTCACAGGTCCTCCCCATGGCATCCCAGATGAACCAACTCCTCAGCAGGAAGCCACCTGCCCAGCACTGTCAATGACCATGGTCCGACCATGGGGCAGAGGGTCTCCTGTAAGACAGGACCTGATGAGGTTACAGGTGCAGAACCTGTGGTCCCCAAGGAGCCTCCACCAGAACAGCCTGCTGAGAGTGAGGGCAGACTCACCCCCAGCGCCCATGGGTCCATCCCGCCAAGTAATCCAAGTGCCCGCTCTACACCCCTCATCTACCCCATAATTACATTCTCCCGAGGCTCAGCACGGAACAGAGTTCTTCACAAAGGAAGCCCTCACATGACCAGGAATGTAAGTACATCTATGTCACTTTATATCATTTGGTCATTTCAGATGGTGAAACAACCCATGTAACTTTCACACGTTAAACACTTAAGTAACTCCTGGCCGGAGATTAAAAAAACAAACAAAACAACAACAGCAAAAGCCCACTCCATTGCTCAACAATCAAACACTCTACTCTTGGCAAATCAGATCTACTTAAAAAAAAAAAAAAAAAAAAGTCTAAAAACAACTTTGCTTCAACAGTCAGAGTGATTTAGGCCAGAATCAAGGCATTCGTTTTGTTCGTACTGCCAGGAGCTTATTTATGTAATGTAGATCTCTGAGAAGCGAGCGCTAAAACTGAAGTCTGCGCCAGCCTGGGCACTGCTTCCCTGCGCTCTGGCGGAGGCCCCGCTCCCCGCAGCCCCTGCTCCCCGCACCCACCTCTGCACCCTCGGCCTCCTGCCCACAGTTCCTCCCAGCAGGCAGCGAGGTGGCGAAGGCTCAAAAGGTTCAGTGAAAAGCCCATTCACTGTGTGGGCAGGAACCGAACACCTGCCCTGCCCTTGTTATTCCTGTCCCTTGCAGCTCCTGGAATTTCAATGCCAGCCTCATAGCAGCAGCCACCGAGTCCTCGGTCATAAAAAGGATCAGAAAACATCTTTATTGTGACCATGCATGCTGCCAACAGTGTATCTTGAAACAGAACATGAAAATGGCCTTTATGTTTCATCTACAGAAGTTTACTCTTAGGTACCACGTGTTGCTTTATATCAGAAACGTGGTATCACACACATTTGTTTACTCTTAGCCCTGTAACCTACTTTTTCATAAATTACATTTAAGAAAAATATATTTTTGAAAAAAGAGGGTGGAGTTGAGAAAGCACAGCCCAGATTCTAATGGAACAGAACTAAACACACACACCCAAACAGGAATTAACGTGTTGATCCCAGAAATCACAGCACAGCGTGTAACAAATCAACCATTTACTTTTTTCCTTTTAGGTTTTGAGCCAACATTTTGGGAAGAAACTCATAGTAAGTACAGTCATGTGACTAAGTCTGAATATATTGTGTTCTTAAATGTCAATTATTAAAGGAGTTTAAGTTATATAGTTATTTTAAAATCCTGAGCTTGACATAATTAAAAGCCAATGTCTACCACTCATTTTTCCCTAAAATTCAAATGATAGCAAATTTTAGGAACTATGAACAAATATGTCCAACATTTTGGGAACAATCTTGTCTAAAGATATATATTTTGACAATAGGCAGTATGAGCTTAAAATAAAGTTACATAAAATTTAAAGAAGTATTGGTATAGACCCTGGCCGGGTATTCAGTTGGTAAGAGCGTCGTCCCAATGCACCAAGGTTGCAGGTTCGATCCCCAGTCAGGACACATATAAGAATCAACCAATGAATGCATAAATAAGTGGAACAACAAATCAAAGTCTCTCTCTCTCTTTCTCATATAATAATAATAAAAGAGTATTGGTATAAAACATAGTTGTCATCTAAATACAGATTAGTCATTGGACTATTAATATATCTTCAACTAGATAATTCTTCATCAAGTCACAGTAGAAATTTAGAGGAACGGAATTAGGACACTAATGGACCCGAGTAGCACAGAACACGTGAATATATAGCCATACATGTTATTTTCCATGTACATTTGATCACGGGTAATCAAAGCACATTTATTATTTGAAGAAAGCAAAGAGCAATGACCGACTCACACACAAACATCTCCACGTGACTTCAAGTGGAATAAGACAATGAAATGACAGGGTAGCAGCCAGCCTGGCCTAAAGTTACACTGCATGGATTAACGCACAATGACCAAAAGTGTTAGTGGAGAAAGGATATACTCTTTCTGACTATTTCCAAATCTCAAATGTGACGATGAGAAAACACAATGAAAGTAAAAGTAAAGTACACAAGTAGGTAGAACAAGGATTAGTTACCCAGCCAGGCTGAGAGGCGGATTATGTCAGGAACCTGTGGCCTCCCCTGAAAGGCTTTGCCAGCACCTAAGAATAGCTCCCAGGGCGATTTAAGCCCAGCCCCTGGTGCAGTGAGCAATGTGCCTTGGAGGGATAATGCCAAGAACAGGGGGCATCACTGAACGCTCCCTCAAAAGCCAGGCATCTGACTGACGCAATGCAGCACCACAGTTCTCACTGCCACCCTGCAGAGACTCTACTCATTCTGCCACTGATCACCGTGTACCATCGTAGGAAGACAAATGGGACACACAGGAGTTACACAATAGGGTTACATCTCCCAAAGTTCCCTCATTTGTCTCAGGTGAAAGTACAGAGTCACTAACATCTGACTTTGACAAGAAGGACACATGCTAAAAACCTCAAGTGCCTAATTACTAAGCTAGTTTCTTCCTGTCCTTAAGAAGATGAGAAGAAATGAACAGGACAGAGAATAGAAAGTAAGAAAATGTAAGTAAATAAACAATTTAGTCCAAATAAAAGACGATGGTTGTTAGGATTAAAAAAAGCAACAACACTCAACTCTATCCTGCTTAGACAAGGCTTTACGTACAGGGACCCAGAAAAGCTGAAAGAAGAAGAATAAGATAGTATGGCAGGCAAATCACAGACTGGGGGAAATAGAGTATACACCTGATAAAGGACTTGTAACCAAAATATATAAAAAACCCTTAAACTCAACAATAAGGAAGCAAGCCTCTCAGTTAAAAAAGAGCAAAAGATCTGAACAGATATCTCACCAAAACAAGATATACAGATGGCAAGTGAACATTTGAAAAGATACTCCGCATCCAACTCCAATGGGAACTGGGAATGAAAACAACAATGAAATGCCCCACTCACCTACCAGAAGAGCTAAAATCCGGAAAACAGGCAACACCAAATGCTGGTGTTGATGTGGAGTAATGGAACTGACTGTTCGTTGCTAGCAGGAATGCAAAACAGTGCAGCCACCTGGCAAAGCAGAACTGCAGGTTCTTAGGAAGGTAAATAGTCTTACCATGATCTAAGTCACC